GTACGACCAGGGGTGCGGAGGAGAGTTTTCTGCAGTTTTAGCATTGCTATTTTTGCCGCTGGAAGAGGGGGGAGGGGTTGTTGGGGGCGAAAGACCCCTCCCTGGACCAAGTCAACAAAATTTTGCCCTGAATCCGCCCATGGGTCAAGTCAACAAAATTTCTTCCTACTTAAGGGGAAATAAGTGAAATGAGGATTTGCTATGTGCATATGTGTCTTACTTTTAGCTAAGGAATGAAACACAGACAGGTTTTTCCACTTTGTCCCTTTTTACATGCCAATAAAGCACGACAACAGGCCTCTTGCCGAATCTCCTTAGCTTTTTTTTTCGTTGCACTTCTACATTAATGGGAATTTTCAGGCTTCTGCTGAGCGAGAGCATCTCACCGATCACACGATTCTCGTCCAGTGCGACCACGCAGAGCGAAACGACCACTTCCGATACAGCATCGTTCTCGCTGCGGCATCAGAACACAAGGTTAACAAGTAAGCCAGCGCCCCCTTCTTCCGCTACTCCTAAATTAGCTCTCTTTTCATTGATCTCGGCTTCTAAGACAAATAAATAGCAACACGCACCAGACTAGCCGGTGCGATCATGTGTTTTATGCAATTCAGCCCATTGAACGATTGCCTACCAATGATTTTCACTGCTTTGTACTTTAGTCTATGCAAAAATAGTTCAGACATTGAAAAATGGTTAAAAATTTCCCTGTTAATGATTTTCACTGCTTCGTACTTCAGTCTATGCAAAAATAGTTCAAACATTGGAAAACATTTAAAAATTTCACGCACCTGCGCATGAAAGCTGAATTCGAAACCTTGAAGGGTGAATATCTTTCCGTGATTCCCGAGTTAATAGTTTAACCGTAAAAACTTTCACTAGCCTGTAGGTGATACCCGAGAACGCGGAAAGGCTGAATTTGAATGAGCAAGGTTGAGCGTGGGCAGGGGGTCATTACCCTAAAATTTCAGCCTCCTAGACTCTACGGTTCCCAAGATAATAATTTTTCCGTAAGAAACTTTCATGGGGCCGTACGTGTTACCTGCGGATGCAGGAAGGCTGAATTTAAATTTGCCGCGTCACCCGTTGACGAGGAACACTATACCAAAATTTCAGCCGCCTAGCTTTTGTGGTTTCCGAGTTGAAAGTGCGGGACAAATTGTGGGATACACACACAGACAACCCCGTGACAATATGCGTCTCGTAACACTGTTACACAGCACAAAACGCATAATAAATCATTTGTTCCAGCTGTGCAGTACTTAGCTTCTTCAACATATCCCAGGCATTTCTGATCGGTGTAGGACGTAGGATTACGTGTCTCTGAGTGGTGGATAAATTAAATCACCTTCTGAAGGATGGGTAGCGCAAACCGCATATCTATAAGTAGTGGATGGCGTGAACCGCGTATTTCCGAGCTGGTGATGTAGGCCACTTATCCTCGAGCAGCAAACAATGTGTCTGGGGAAAGGCGGGGGAGTAGGAAGGGCTGATGTGGGCCATGTCTTCCTGAAGGATGCATGGCAAAACCATGTGCTTACAAGCGATGAATAACGTGAGCTGCGTGTTTTCAAGTTTTGTTTGACGTGGACTGTGTCTCGGAGCAGCGGATGACGTGAGCTAGATGTCTGGGAACAATACGTGACATGGGCCACCTGTCTGACCTGTGGTAGTGGATGATGTGAACCACGTATTTCTGACTTGTGGGCAACGTGGGCCACGTATATTCAGTCGTACATCGCCTCCCAAGGCACTGTTTTGAGCCCGTGCCGTGATTAGATTTTTCCGGACAGTGAGCTGTTTGGTTCAGCAGTATTTATGAGCCATCCGCCAGATATGTTGTATTAGCCTATTTCTTACATTACCCTAGTGAACTTTGCGAATAGATGCTCTTGGTGCCCATATTTCGACTCATTTGAAATATATTACGTTCTCTGAATGTGCAAATGTGTGTATGTAAATCTTCGTGTATGTATGTGTAAATCCGCATGTATGTGTATGTGTGTGTGTTTATTCCGTATTTAGTCAGTTATGTGTAGTTTGTGCTCTTTATCGTCTGAAAATTGTTTGCTTGTTTGTTTGGGTGTGTGTGTGTGTGTGTGTGTGTGTGTGTGTGTACTGTTATACTTCTCCTTTTTTTGGTAAAATTCTATAATTTTGTCTAGGCGCTGAATTTCTTGCAAAAGTGAAGGAGTCAGTTGGTACTGAGGCTGCCGCTCAGAAGGATTTTGAGATTCCTCGGCCAGCATTCGATGCTCTCGCAAGCGAATACGACACTCTGCTGGATGAGGTGGCCACATTCAAGGTAAACACACAGTTCATTCATTTATCCTATTTTGCAGAAATGGCGAGCAAGTGGAGTTCGTTCGTTTGTTCGTGGAAACGGAAATATTACATCTCAAGAGAAGTGAGTGTGAACAAGACCTAAGGTCTGAGCACTACAAAATTCATTCTTAGTTGTTCAAGAAATCAGATCAACATAGAGCACTTCAGTTTGAGGGTATCCCGGTGATATAGTGCAAATTTTTCCGTCTGAACTGCTTTGTAAACTACTCGCAATGAATTTGCAGAAGTGAAAATAAGCTGCCAAATTTGTTTTTTGGAATGAATGACGATGTGGGACAGTGTGGGGAAAGGGGAAAGAGGAGCGGGACGAAGGAGGGGGAGGAGAGGGGTAGGCGGAAATGTGTAGGCAGAGAGGTGATGGGAAGTATTGACTATACCTAAGGTAGCTCATAGGCGAAAACTTTTTTGAACTGCTTATCAGGAGCTAAACGAAAGTGGCCAGCACTGATTATTGGCCGAAAACGGCAAAAATGAGTTGCCGATCAAAAAAACTGCATCTTTTTTGCGCTGATTATGTGAAATGTTTGAGTCTGTATTGTTGGATGTCTGCATTTTCCTCTTTTAAAGCAATTACGGCATTTAGGATAAATATACGCGCGCGCTGGCGGAAGTGGAAAATGTTCGTCGTCGTGGACAGAAACAGACAGAAGAAGCAAAAGTATTTGCAATTCAAGGATTTTGCAAAGATTTGCTTGAAGTTTGTTTTTAAGGAGTTCTCAAGGTTGCTTTGATTTGCTTCAGCATTATTCAGGTGATGTGGTGAAAATTACAGTACTTGTTGCTTGCAATATTTAAAACTGCATATACATTTTATAGCCGGATTGAAGAGGGACTGCTTCCTTCGTCATTCATTTTGAGCTTACTATTGTTTATTATGCTTCGCATCTTGGGTCAGTATATATACGTAGATATTCTCTATACCCTTTGGAAAGAGACAGAGACAGATGTTGCTTTCTGGCACCGACTTTTCATGCGTTTTCTGCAGCTATGCAATGCAGAAAACGAATATTGACGAGAGGTTGTCTGTGTGTGCGCTGGGCTTTTGTACCGGTTTTTTCATCTCGAGACCAACAAAAGCTACAGCGCTGAAACTTTGGGACCTTGATCTACATGCATGTTCGGGTCTCCATCCTCGAAATGGGCGGTCTTCCTCACGTGGTATCCACGTACGGGCCCGTGAACGTTTTTTGGGGGTATGTCGCTAACTCGTGAACTAGAAAAGCTAGAAAGCTGAAATTTTAAGGGGATGTTCCCCGTCCACGTGTCTTAATGAGCTTCAAACCCAGCCCTCGGATATGTGTGGTATCCGCGCACGGGCCGGCCAAATTTCTTCTGGTAAGTTGCTAACTCGGGAACCTGAGAAGCTAGAAGACTGAAATTTTACCCCATCCACGTAGGTCCTAATGAGTTCAAACCTAGCCCCAGGTATGCGTGGTTCCTGTGTACGAGCCCGTGAAAGTTTTTTTCAAGAAAGTTACTAACTCGGAAACCAGAAAAACTAGAAAGCTGAAATTTTAAACGGATGCTTACTAACAGTCCTGGCGGCCAGTCTCAATTTTTTTAGTCAGAAGCATTTGCCGGGAAAACCGGTGCCGGTAGCGACAAAGCCTGCAGGGAACTATGCAAAAAACGCATCTTCGCACCGGCTGTCGGTGCGTTGGCCAATTATTTCATTTGAGAGAAATCACAAGAACTACATTTCGAGAGATCAGAAACTGAGATATAGAAATAGCATAAACGACAAGAAAATGGTGAATTGATTATTGCAAAAAGCAGTTCGAGAGTGGTTCGCATCCTCTGCCGAAGTGCGATTATCCCGGCGCTAGCTTCACAAAATTATTTTGGCTCTAGAGTCCTTCATAGGATTAAGTTCAACTTGTCTGTTGTTGGCAATTTCACTTGCCTTAAAAAAAGCAATGCGGCCTTGAAGGATGATAAGTTTGATAGCATTCTTTATAACAAAAAAAATTACAATTTCTTTTTAGGTTGCAGATATTCTTGATCTCGCAATCGATGCAGTGAAAAAGGAAGAGCTGGATGAAAATACATCCTTGAAGAATTTGTTCGAAGGATTGCAGATGACAAGAACTGTCCTGGAGAAAACATTCATTAAGCATGGATTGAGGAAAATTTCGCCAGAGGGAGAGAAATTTGACCCAACTTTACATGAAGCTATTTTCCAGATCCCAAAAGATCAGGTAACTGGTTTGTGAAGTATTAACAATCGAATACTTCAGATTTGCTTTTATTCGCATTAGTTTTCGGAAGCAATTTATCGCTTTTCCGCTATTTATTGAAAAAAAAGTGTGCTTTTAGGCAAAATTCGATTCAGGATATGTGGCGCAAGTGATAAAAATTGGCTACGCGTTACACAATCGACCAGTTCGTGCCGCAAAAGTTGGCGTTGTACAGTGATAATTAATCATTTTTTATCACTTACCATCACTCTGCTGCTGTTTTGTTGGCATGTCTGTGTTTTGTGATATTTAAATTTGTGAGGGCCGAAAATGCCTTCAAACAAGTAATATGTTTTGCGTTTCTCTAGTGGAGGGAAATTAGCACTGCAATGTTTTTTTTTTTTCATTTTTTTATCAGTAAATCCCAAATCAACCACTAAAACATCGCGTTGTGACCGTTTTTGTGGGACTAATAAAGAATTGATAAGAATTGCGTGCTTCCTGATGTTGCTGGCCCGATGCCATACTGAAATATTTGTAGCTACGATTAATAATATGCGAGATTTCTCTCAGTTTCAACGGTTGCCTAGAACAAACCCCCGCAAGAGTTGTTTTGAAGCTAGTTCGCCTCCTGTATAGTTTTCAAATGCGTGCTCGCATGTTCCATGAAATGTGAGTGCGTCCTGGGCGGGAGAGGGAGGGGGGTGATTGGTCATTTTGAAGATCTTTGCCTTTATTAACAAAGTGGTAGCTTAATGAGGAAAATTAAAAATATCTCTCAAAAATGCGTTTTAAAAATACCAAGAATGCTGGTAGGTATGGCGCAATGCGTTGCCTTGCAGCAGGGTTGAAAATCCAACTCTGACGATGGGACAGCAATCCCTTGACGATTCGTTTCGATAGTAAATTGATACTGTTGACATATGCCAGCTAGTCATACCTGCCATCAACTTGCTTGTTAACAACTCGCAGAAAAGAGTTAGCCTTACCAGCGGATTTTGTTGTCAGCATTTGCCGCTGCCTCTCGTTGAGAGTGAAATGCGGAAACGCTTTTAATTTTTATGCATTTTGAGTTATGTAACAGCAGTACAAAACGCGTATTGTCACGAGGTTGTCTGTATGTGTGTTTGTGTGTATGTATGTTGTGTGTGTGTGTGTGTGTGTGTGTATTTCTCTGTGTGTGTGTGTGTGTGTGTGTGTCCGCAGCAACTTGTTCGCAACCTTTAACTCGAGAACCACAAAAGCTAGGAAGCTGAAAATTTAGGGTAATGTTCCTCACCCACGTGTGACTCCGCAAGTTTAAATTCAGCGTCGCTGTACCCGCGGGTGACACATACGGCTCCGTAAAAGTTTAGGCGGGTGAAATTGTTATCACAGGAACAACGGAAGCCAGAAGGCTGAAATTTTGTGAGAATGTCCCCTGCCTACAAGCGACCCGGAAAATTTAAACCCAGCCTTCTCTTGCCCGCGGGTAACACGAACGGCCCCGTCAAAATTTTGGTGGGTAAATTATTATCTCGGGATCCACAAAATCTACGAAGCTGAAATTTTGCGGTAATGATCTCTTGTCCACGAACGACCTTGCAAATTCAAATTCAGTGCTCCTCCTTAGGTGTCATTTACGGCCCCATGAAAATTTTGGTGGGTAAATTATTACCTTAGGGACCACGCAGTCAAGGGGGCTGAAATTTTACGGCAGTGACCCCCTTCCCACGTTCGATTTTGCAAATTCAAATGGAGCGTTCTTGCGTTCTCGGGTGTCAGCTACGGCTTCGCGAAAATTTTGGCGGAAAAATTACTATCTCAGGAATCATAAAAGCGAAGAAGCTGCAGTTTTACGGTAGTGCTGATGCGTGAGTTTTCATGTGTCGACGCGTGAAATTTTCAACTATTTTTCAACGTTTCAGCTATTTTTGCACAGACTAAAGTACAAAGCAATAAAAATAGCAACGCGCACCAGACTGGCCGGTGCGATCATGCGTTCTGTGCAATTCAGCACATCGAACGATTGCTTATTAATGATTTTCACTGCTTTGTACTTTATGCAAAAATAGTTCAGACATTGGAAAACAGTTAAAAATTTCACGCACCAGCGCATGAAAGATGAATTCGAAACCTTGAAGGGTGAATATCTTTACCCCGAGTTAATAGTTTATCCACCAAAATTTACACGAGGCCGTAGGTGGTACTCAAGAGCGCGGGAACTTGAATAGGCAAAGTTGAGCGTGGGCAGGGGGTCATTGCCCTAAAATGTCAGCTCCCTAGACCCCGTGGTTCCGAAGATAATAATTTACCCGTAGAAAATTTCACTACCTCGTAGGTAGTACCCGAGAGCGCGGGAACGCTGAATTTGAATGGGCAAGGTTGAGCGTGGGCAGTGGGACATTACCCCAAAATTTCAGCCTCCTAGACTCCATGGTTCCCGAGATATTAATTTACCCGTAAAAAACTTTCACGCGGCTGTACATGCTACCCGCGGGTACGGGAAGGCTGAATTTGAATGGGCAAGGTTGAGCATGGGCAGGGGGTCATTACCCTAAAATTTCAGCCTGGTTGGTCTGGTGCGCAATCCTATTTATTGACTCTGAGTTGAAAAATACTTGAATACATTTAGAGCTTTCTTTTTACGTTTAGAGCCTTTACTTTACATTCCACTGTTATCTGAACAATTGCCAGGTATGTTTGAGATTTTTGTGATAGTTCACACGAATTAGGTACTGATGAAAATGTGGCTTAAGTTTGACATTTTGTTACCCAAGATACTTGGAACAGCTGTAATTCATAGTCTGGTTATGCTTTTTTGCATATATGCAAATGCAGTAATTGGCCAACGCACCGCTGCCGGTGCGAAGATGCGTTTTTTGCATAGTTCCCTACAGTTTTTGTCGCTACCAGCACCGATTTTTCCGGCAAATGCTTCTAATTAGACAAATTAAGACTGACCGCCAGAACTGTCAGGAAACACCCTCCTAAAATTTCAGCCTTCTAACTTTTCAGTTCCCCGAGTTAGCAGTTTGCTCGAAAGAAACCTTGTTAGGTGCATACGTGGATACCACGGATACCCGGTGTCTGGGTTTTTGGGCTCATTAACACCTATTTGGATGGGAGGAACATCCCCTTAAAATTCCAGTCCTCTAGGTTCCCGAGTTAGCAACTTACTCGAAAAATAATTTCACGGATCCGTACGTAGGAACCACGCATAACCGAAGGCTGGGTTTGAGCGCACTAATACCTACATGGATGGGGAAGAACTCCTTTAGATTTCAGCTTTCCCGCACTTCTGATTCCCGAGTTAGCAGCTTGCTCATAAAAAACCTTGGCGGACTCGTACGTGGGAATCACGCATACCCGGGGGTTGGCTATGAACTCATTGGGACTTTCGTGGATGAGGGGAATTTCCTTAAAATTACAGCCTTTTAGCTTTTCAGTTCCCCGGGTTAGGGACTTACCCGTAAAAAAACTTTCACGGGCCCGTACGTGGGTACTACGCTTACCCAGTGTCAGGGTTTGAGCTCATTGCGACTTGTGTGGTCAAGGAGCATCCTCTTAAAATTTCAGCTTTCTGGCTTTTCTGGTTCTCGAGTTAGCGACTTACCCGCAAAAAACTTTCACGGCCTGTACTTGGGCACCATGCGAGTATGACCACCCATTTTGGGGATGGAGGCCCGAACATCTGTGTAGATTAAGTTCCCAAAGTTTTAGCCCTGTAGCTTTTGTAAGTCTTGAGATGGAAAAGCGGTACAGACGCCCAGCGCACACACAGGCAATCTCTCGTCAATATGCGTTTTCTGCATTGCATAGCTGCAAAAAACGCATATTTTGACGACCGATGGTATGCGTGTATGAATACGTTTGTGCGTGTGTTTGTATGTGTATATATGTGTGCATCTGTCCCGGTATTTCGACTCGAAAACCAAACAAGTTCCGAAGCTGAAACTTTGCGAGTGGGTTCCTTGGCCAAATGCCACCCCTAGGACCGCCGTAGCAACCCCCATGTACATCTGAATCGCGAGTACGAACATGAAAGTTTTGGCGGGAAAATCAATACTTCGGGAACTGGAAAAGCTAGAGAGCTGAAAATTTGACAGAATGTCCCCTGTCCAAGTGCCGCGTAGTTGCACAATTAACTTCTCGAACTTCGAGGACCGGTATTGTAATTTTAATTTTAGGTGGTATGTGTTTATGTAAGAAGTAAGGGAATAAGTAAGTAATAGGGAATAAGTAATAAGTATGTAAGAAGTAAGAAGTAAGGGAATAAAAGGGGAATGTGAACAAGTTAAAATCTGAATTAAAAACTGAATAGGAATGTTTCGGTCCATCAAGTCGCATACGGTATGTCACAAATTCTAGCTATTGGAATTTCAAGTGAACTTACCACAGCACGAAACAGTGCAAAAACGTATGGTTGCACGAGCTCACCTGATGCGCTAGTGATTTCCTAACTGCGCTAGCCGGCTTTTTTCCCAGTCGCTTTGGCCAGTGTTGCGTCGCCCAGTTGTTAACTTTCTGGTCATCAAAAAGTCTGTTTGATCGTCTGAAATAATTATCAGCTCAGTGGTTCTCCTGTTAGAAGTGCAGTGGTTGACTCAGTGCTTCTGCCCTACCTGCTGGCCAGTCTGCCAGTGGTCATTACGGTTCTTCACAATTTTTTTTTCCGGTCTACTGAAATGAAGTGCTATTCGTATCACATTGAAATGGAATGATTCCTCTGTCGCTTGTGTGTGGTCCTTTAGCTGTTATGAGTATTTTTAGGTTCCTCCTTAACACACAACGATAGTTCTTGGTAAAAGTCCTAAAACACCGAATTTTGAGGTGGTACTGAACGCGAGCAGACATCGTTCATGCCAGAAATAGAGCTTTAATTGAAAATTGAGTAGCACTGAGGGCACTATTAGTGGGCAGTGTTTAGCAGTGTGATATTCACTTACTGATTGTTTGATAGTGTTTTTTAGTGTTTTTGCGCGTCTGCTAAGTTCGTTGAGCTTAGGCAAATGCAAGGGGCGAACAGCGTCTTCTCGCGCACTGATAAGTTTCGCAGAGCAATTTTCAGAAAGGTTTGTTCATTGTGCACGGCTTCGGATACCTCGGCCTACACCCTTTATGTTGTTTCCTGAGGTGTTGAGGCCCTGCGAAATTGTTGGCCATTATCGCAGCATTTGTGGATTTGTTAGGGGAAATTTCCTTGATTCCATAAGACAGCGTTTTGCATTCCTTTCTTGAAACCAATAAATGATTTCT